TGATGACACCATCTTTGGAATATGTATTTTTATTACATTGGATATTGTGAAAATAAATACAACGTGATCTCCCGAGGCTCAGTTTTTCTACTAGTTTATTAAATCCTTCTAAGTGATCTCATGTTAAAGCCTGCTAAACGAAGCTTTTGCTAAACTAAATCCCTGGCCCCGTTGTTGACATTTGCTGGGAACATTGTTTAGATTCAGTCAATTTCTGGGAATTTAGAAAAAGGCTGGCAAAAAAAAGGCAGCATGGTGGGAAATGGGCTCTGATCGTTGTATTTAGAAAGCGGGCAGTTACGTTTGGACAAGGTGGGTACCGCGCATGCTTTTGCTTTCGTGATTATTTTTTCTATACACCAAAGTCAGCTGGGGTGAAAGAGAATATCCAGAAAAGAGCAGGATCTCGCTGTGCAGTTTGGTGATACCGAGAAAGCCAATGGCAGGGTCTTAGCAAGAAGCAAAGGGAAGGAGGAGAAACATGAACTTGCACCAGCCCTTCTTTGGGTTGGTTTATTATTTTTTATGTGAAAAGCTGCTGGCGAGCCAGGGTTGACAGACATAAATATTGCTGGCACCAAAGAAATGAAAATTTAAGAGGGGAAGATGAGCCCAAGCGGTGACAGTGACTTCTTTGGCAGTTGTTTGCAAGTTTTTTTGTGTGCTGTGATTTAATCTTTCCTTCTGGCTCCATCCAGGTGATCCTTGTTGAGACCTTTGCCAGCTTAAACTATATGTGAAGGACAGGGTCCTTTCACTCACACAGACACGTTCTTGTGTTCAGGTGTACCCAGAGAGACGGGAAGTACCCCACTGCACTGCTGATGTTTCTGTGCACCTCTCTAATCTGTATTAAAAAAGATGCTGCTCATGTTTGCGCTGTGTGAACACCCAGTGCATCCCATCTTGATGCAGGCTCTAGGTTAGGTCCTATTACATTAGTGCATTGGTGTGGACACCCTTCAAAGCTTTTACTCCATTTTCTGTAAAATTTGGGCAAGGAGATACTTAAAGACACCTGAGTGTAATGTAAATTTAATCCTTGGTACTGTTTTTGCATGAAGCCACGAGTATTGTTGCAGGGGGGACTGCAGCAGCATCTAAAAGCAATGGACGAGCTCCAAGATCAACATCAAGGCTTGAAATTTTTAGAGACCCAAGCGGAAGACAGAGTGGAAACCAAATCTGAAAAGAAGTCATGAATCGCTAGAGCGCTGTGTCATCTGTCAGTCATTAAGCCCAGCGCTCTCCTTTTTTCTGGTGTAGTCTTCCCTGAATGGGTGCCAGGGCTTTGCGGGGTGCAGGCAGCAAAAGAAGGGGGATTTGGAGAGAGAGGGGGACAGCACCCAGACCCCAAGATCTGGAGCTGCCACTGCACACTTGTGTCTGTGGTTTTCATCTCACGACTGCCCACCTCTCCATTTCGGCAGAGAATTTGCACAAGTGATTAAGTCCATCTCCAATCAGCGATGCCCACAGCCTTAGACTGACTTTTATTTCATTAGGACTAAAGCTCATCTGTAAATTTTACCGTATTAATTGCTTAATCAGGCCTAATTTACCCCCTGTTTGAGCCAAAGGCACCCATCCTTTCTCTGTGGGTAGAACCGGACCAGGACCGTGGAGCAGGTACAGATTTGAGTGGCAATGCTGGGATTTGCTTACAAAACGCATGTAAGGGATGTGAAACGGGAACTGGAATCGCAGCCTCGATCCCAAGAAACCAATAGCTGCCTTTTAAAGCCGGCTGCTGGAGCGGCTGCCAGTTGGCAGTGGGAGGTGAGGAATGTGTTTAAGGCGCTCTGCGTGCTATTGTGGGCTCCGTGTCAGGCTACAGCTCTGCTTTTGGATGAAAACGTCTGGTGAGCAGAGGGCGTTCAGCCCCGGCAGCGATCTGTTCAGTGGAAAATGGGCTTAGATGGAGAGCTGGTGGCTGCCCCCCAGAAAACATGGTGCTGTGGGGCGTGATGGCTCAGGGGGTGTTTATCTGGCAGAGCTGCAACTGCGTTGTCTCTAGGGCTACCCTGGATGTCGCTGGGTATGGCTTTGGTTGCCCGTCAGAGATCAAAAGGATGCCCAGAGAGGCCCTGGGTGCTGGATGTAAACATTTTCCTCATAGAAAGAAACAAACTGCAGGAGTGAAGGTGGGGGAGAGATGTCATGAAGAGATGCAGAGGCAAGAGGGAGTTTTGTGTGACCCTGAATGGCTGACAAGGGGTGACACTGAAATTGAGTGTGGCCACTTGTTTGTTGATGAGCACGTGCCCGTAACTTCACCACAGTGATGTTACCAGCCTGAGATCAGAGCTCCTCCTGCAATTTTGAGCTCCTAATAGCTACCAGCAGCAATAGATGAACCTCATGGCCCAGTATGGCCCTTCGTGATCACCACGGCCTCGTGGAGCAGCTCTGGAGATCTGGGTACTTCTGTCGTACGCTGATGCTCCTGTTCCTTTCATCTGGTTTGTACTTCTGCTCCATTATGGAGCTGATTTCCAAAACAACTCAGAGTAGAGGCTGCTCCATTTGAGCTCTTGATCTCACGTTTTACCTCTCTGAATTCACCCCGGGGGGCAAAGGTGGTAGGATCCAGGCTCTCCTCTTTACTCTCATCTTCACCTTCTGGATTATCTCCCAAATCCTGCTCCTCAGGGCATTTCCATCCAGGTAAACTGGTGTCCTGCTTGCCCGTGCAGTCCTTATTGCAGTTAAATCTGCTTTAGTTGAAAGGTGAGCTTCAGTGAGGTGGGTTTGCTTAGTCACTAAGTTAATCTCATTCCTCCTGGTTTTGTCTTCTCTATCTTCTTGTGTGCTCAAATTGCAACGCTTGATCCTCTTCAGGAGGTGTTAGGTGTAGTCCTTGAGTTAAATTCCATAATAAATTATAATGAATGAGCAATAAATTATATCCTATTGGAGGATTTATTGATTGTAAGGTGGTGAATAGACCCCCAGAGCCTGCAGTAGCTGTTGAGTTTTTTCAGCTCAGGTTTCAGCTGTTTTGTCATCTTTTCAAGAACCAACAGAGTAAAAATATTTTGGCCAGAGCTGACTCCATGCAGAAACACATGAATGTGGTTGTGTGTCTCTGTTTGCATCTCAGAGTATCTGTGTTGGCTGAATACTGTCCCTTATCTGAGGCATCTCAGCCTACCATCACGCTAGTTAATGAAGAGTTTAATTGGCAGTTTAAAGGTTGTGCTTTTGCAATCCAATTTTTAATGTTCTGGGGAACATCTTGGGGCCATCATCCAAGGAAGCCTGGATCTCATCCCGTTGATTTCTCAATTGAAGCGAGATGTCTGTGGAAGGAGGTTTCCATCTCCCCATCCCTTTCCCACCCCCTGTCTTCACAGCCATAAATCCCTGCAGTTCACACACGGTGTCTATCTTCTCCCTGTGGACTGGAAAACATGGTCTGCATGAATGCTGGGTCGCTGCTGTGGAGCTGGTAGTGCCGGGAGAAATTTGGGATGTCCTGGAAGGCGATGCTCACCCTTCTTCCCGTTAATCCCATTAACTGGCCCTGGCGGCTGTGACCAGGCACTGGGGAGCGGGGCTGGGGCTGGGATGCTCTAAGCCTTGCACACAATGAAAGGGCGACTTCAAAGAGCCCCAGGGGGATTTGCATTTCCAAGCTCTCACAGCCAAGGTCTCCAGGAGGGGATGAAAGTGTCTTTTGTTAAACTTAATGGCAGAGTTGATTAAAAAAAGCTCTGATTTTTCCCTATTAATGGCATAGGCTGATTCCAGTGTCAGGCTTTCTGAACCTGGGGGAGGATAAATTCTGCCAAAAAAAAAGGAAAAAAAGCATACAAAGCAAGTAACCTGTTGCCTACCCAGCTGTGATCGTACTTAGGGATATTCCAGTATAATTTTTCCTAATTGAACAGCCTTATAGTAGCTGTCCTGGGTGGGTACTGGCATGAATTAAAAATAAATTATCAGCAAATTTTCATTAAGGATCTCCCTTTGGCGGGGCCTCAGCAGAGCCAAGCTGTCTGCCTTTCCCGAAAATGGGTCCCAAATATCTCCAACTGCGTTCTCAACGCCAGAAAAGTCAAAGGGCCACTTCATGCAGTTGGGTGCATGTTCCGGTGATCACATATGCAGAACCCTCCTCAAAACATAACTCAAACTGATCTGCTGTGTGCCAGCCTTTAGCATTGATTATCTGTGCAAAATAGGCAGTGACTGCTCTGGTCTGCAGAGGTTTGGTAATTTCCTTTCTTTGCTTTGTTTGAAGAATATTGGCAAATAATTTCACATCTGGATTTATGTATTAAATGTCTCCTATATTCCGTAAAACAAAGCACCTAATGAAAGAAATCTGTCTATTTAACTCCTGTCTTAGCTCTGAGTCTGTTTTAGCAATAACTGTTACCACTCTAGCGGAAGATTGAAGAAACATTTCCTATTTCAAGGGTAGCAGTGCTGGGGGAGGTTTCATTTGCTACACACACTTTACATTTTGTCTCTGCTAGCATGGCACTTCCTGCAATGTTTATCGATGTTGAGTACAAGTTTGGTTCAGAAATAGCAAACAGCATGTTAGCTGCTTTAAATAAACATAAATATTATTTTTTTTGATTTTCGGGCAGTTTATGTTTTCTGTTCTAATCAAGGCTGGGAATATTCTTGAAGATAACCTTCCCTCTCATGCTTTTCGTACAACATCAATGCATATTCTGTCTAACCCGAAATGCCACTACCTGCTTTTACCAGGCAGCTTTAAAAAAAATAAATACACAAAATCTTGATGAATATAAGGATATAATTCATAATATAGAATTTAATTCATCATAATAATTCATAATATAATTCACGTTATATCCTTATATTCACTTTGGGATCATTTGTGAGATGCTGCAAACTACCTGCCACAGTGTGGGAATCCTTCAAGGTTAAAACCATCCCGGGCACAAAGGCAGTGCCATTGCCCCCTATGCTAAAAACCATAAAATCCCTTATCACAGGCTCGTAATGGAGGGGAGGGCGGCATGGGGGCTCCTGCGCCGGGGAGCATCACCCAGAACGAATCGCAGAGCGCAGGACAAACCCGGCCGAGCCCCTCACCTCGGCCGCTCTTAATGCGAGTGCCAGCTCCCCGGAGCGGCGTTTTGTTGCGAAGTCGCATGTGAAACGCTTCACCCTTTTGTGTTTCTGATTGATTTCAGGGACGAGTATGAAGAGGATGGGTTTTGCCAGCCCTACAGGGGGATCGCCTGCGCGCGGTTTATTGGAAATCGAACCATTTACATGGAGTCTTTGCATATGCAAGGTGAAATAGAAAATCAGATTACAGGTGGGTAAAAAACCACACTTGCTGCTTTCCCACGAAGCTGTGTTTTCCCAAAAAGCTGCTGGAGTTTTATAAGCTGTGATGCTATTTTTATTTGCTTTTTATTTGCTCTTGCTGTGAGCTTTTCCCACCACAAAGCTCTCCCAGGACTTTTGCGTTATGCGGTGTCAGTGGCGGAGCGATGAGCAGAGCAGCCTCTGCATCTCTGCTGATCCAGGTCCCCAGAATAAACTAAAAAATATTTCCCAATTTGTGTATATTTACAGCTTCAGAGAGTGGCTCGGAGCCAGGCTACCTTGTGTTTCCCAGGCAGATTGGAAAACCGAAGGGTGACCAGAATTGTTTGGTTTTTAGGTGGTTCAGATGATTTAAGAGAGCTGTAGGTGCTGGAAGAGGCTGCACCTTATCCAGCAGAAGATAATATATGAGTAAATAATTCAGTAGTTCAGCTTTAGATTTAGTAAAGAAGTGGTTTTCATTGTTTTTATGGGAGATGCTTTGCTGATGGGACTGCTCAATTCAAGCTCAGGCCTCAAAATACCGTGATGCTTCTCTGTGTTTTTATATACATTAACCACGGCCAGATCTGAGCTAGGTGTTGTCCTGCTTATATTCAGAATTTCTCTTGCTGTCAGAATATTCCAAATTTCTCTTTCCCCTAGAAAGTTCTTCCTTTGTTTTGTAAAAGACTTCTGCATTGCTTACAGGAAAGGCCAATGATTTCTATAGAGCCAACAGTTCATAATCTTATGCCATATTGTTTGAAAAATAATAACTTGAAATGTTATGAAAGCTGTCACCTCCCACAGAAGCACTGGTACTGTCATCCTGCGGGGACTCTGGTTTTTACCTGCTGGGGAAAAGGCATCCAAATATTACATGACTTTGGAAACCATTGTAAATTATTTGGGAATTAAAATAAGTGTCATTCGGTTTGGAGTTTTGGTAACATGCTTAACGTTAATCCCGTGTTGAAAACCAGGTGTGTCTTCTCTGTCAGCAAAATCAGCATCGTTTTAACTTTTGATGTAATTAGTGCTCTGCATTCCTGGAAGGCCCCGTTCATCACCTGAGCATCTGGAAACGATAGTGGCAATGGGAAGTGAGGGTTATACTGAGAAGACAAGTGCACGGGAATAAAATTCCCACCGGGTTAAGTGAAATCCTTCTGTATATTTTCCAGCTGCCTTCACCATGATTGGCACTTCCAGCCATTTGTCGGATAAATGCTCCCAGTTTGCCATCCCTTCGCTGTGCCATTACGCCTTCCCCTATTGCGACGAGACTTCCTCTGCCCCCAAGCCACGAGACCTGTGCCGCGACGAGTGCGAAATTCTGGAGAACGTCCTGTGTCAGACCGAGTACATTTTTGCAAGGTCTAACCCCATGATTCTGATGAGATTAAAGCTGCCCAACTGCGAAGATCTGCCCCAGCCGGACAGCCCTGAAGCCGTCAATTGTATCCGCATCGGGATTCCGATGGCAGATCCCATAAATAAAAGTAGGTGAAAACTTTCTGTGCCTCCCTGCAAAAAAACACCGCTTACCCCAGCAAGACCACGGCTATAGTTTTGGGTGCTGATCAGGAGGAACATTCACAGGGGCCGTGGCTGGCCCTGCCTAACACAGCCTAATTGTAGCCATCGACTGAGCTCACTCTTTGATGAGGCTGGGCTGCAGCCTGTTCACAACCCTTACACATCTGAATAGGCAAATATAAAACGTGGCTCCTGCAAATTCTCCACCTTCGTATGAAAATAATGGCTGCAATTCAGGTTCCCACTGTAGTTTTTACTTCTTTTGTGTATCTTATATTAAAAACGCTTGGCATAAGCTGTTTTCATTACAGAAGCATAAGCTTTAAATCCTCCCAGGAATGTGAATGCAAAGCAGGCCCTACAGCCGCAGCAAATTGGGAGCCCGTGCTCCCAAACTGGATTTCCCGGTCCCGGGCCAGCAGCAGTGCCCTGAGGCTGGGGAATGCCATCGGTGACATCTGCCTTGCCCCCACCAGCTGTTTCTTTGGATTTTTACTTTATTTTTATTCCTTTTTTCAGACCACAAGTGCTACAACAGCACGGGCGTAGATTACCGGGGGACAGTGAGCGTGACCAGGTCAGGGCGGCAGTGCCAGCCCTGGAACTCGCAGTACCCCCACACGCACACCTTCACCGCCATCAGGTACCCCGAGCTCAACGGGGGCCACTCCTACTGCCGCAACCCCGGCAACCAGAAGGACGCCCCATGGTGCTTCACCCTAGACGAGAACTTCAAGTCCGAGCTTTGTGACGTCCCGGCATGCGGTAATTACTGATCTTTTTTATGTTTCATTTTGGAACAAAGAGGGGAATGGCTTTGTCCCCACCCCGAGGACACCTTTGAGCACTTATTACCTGTGCAGATGACAAAGTGGTGGCATAAAAATATTTTGCAAGGGAATCCCTGAGCACTCCTGGAAGGTGGTGGAGCAGCAGAGTGTGACCAGCCCGAGCATCCCAAGCTCTCCGGGCTGCCATTACCATCACTACAACTCCTGAGTCCCAATTACATCAGATCACAGAAGTTGCCCTCTTGATGCTGATCTTGTTATAAAATGCTGAACTTGTTATAAAATGTTCTCCATTTCACTTGGTTTATTAAGAGCCATAAATGCAAACCTCAGTTAACAGAGCTCAGGCCTTGTTGAAAAATAGAGATGATTTTGCCAGACCCTTTTAGCTGTATTTTAGGTCTGTTCTCACAGAGCTGCCCTGGCTGCATTTTCATTTTGCAGAATGAACAAAAATGGAGATACAGCTCTCATTTTATTCTGCTTTTCTAAGACTCAGGGGAGGTGAATGCAAGACCTGAACAAATGGTTCCTAATTGTTTTATCTGCATTTAAAAAGAACAATATTGATAGCGTGCCAAGGCAAAAACACAGCTATTTGCATGGACATGCCAGAAAGGCACCCAGAAATGTTCTGGAAATTCACAGTACAAAGTTTCACACAAAATTTTCTGTTGCCTACAAGCTTCACAGTTACATTACCTTTCCCCTTAGAAAGGAGATACCTTTTGATGTCCCTGTTCGATAGCCAGAACCAAATTAAATTATTTCTGGTTATGGTTATGAACATTCCTGCAGTGAGACATGTTCTGAGCCTGCTCCAAAGTCTTTTTCAATTAATGGAAAGATGGGAATGGATGCCAAAATGGGATCTAAATTATGTCCTTACTGAAAGAGTAGATCAGAGGAAGGCAGACAGCCTGGGCTGTATCATGTGCATCTCACCCCCCCTCTCACATTCAGATACGATTTTTAGAGTCCTTTTTAGTGCTCAGTTTGGGCAAGCTCAGGGGCCTCTCTGTGCCCACCACCACCACTTTCCGTGCTCCACCGTGCCATTGCTGTACGACCTTTCAGCCATGGGCATTTGGTGCTTTCCACCACGTCTGGCTAACTGAGTCATTAGGAGCTGATGGGGGGCCACTTGTCAGGCCCCCTCGAGATGGGCTTGGAGATCCCAGGACTGGCTTGGGCGTTTGATCTGATCTGGCTGAAAGCAGGACTCTTTTGGAGCTCTTGCAAAACTCTCTGATTTGAACCTTTTACTAGATAATAAATGAGATAGGCTGGCTGGCTTGGAGAATTACTGACGAGGATTTTAATTAACCCTCAGCACTGCCTTAAATGGTCCTTGCTGTACAGCTGGGTTATATGGCGTTATTATTCTAAATACAGACAAGTAGAGCTATATCAGGTGAGCAGTAATCTAATTGTTAAATGCTAATCTGCGTATTAAAACCAAAATACCATGTGGGACTTGTATTCTGCTAGTTTTGCACTGGCTGAAAGAGCCATTTCAGGCACATTTTAATAAGTATTGTGCGTTCTGCTTCACCAGGACATGCCTAGATGGGAAATGGATTTAATTAGGGTGGCTCCCAAGAAACCTATTAACCTAATGAGACTTCCCAGCAGGGGCTGCTACTTAATAAGAATAATGATTCCCTTTGACTGGAGTAGCTCAGGTGATGAACTGGTGCCCAGGTCTCTGTCTGCCTTGTGCTGGTGCTTTCTTTTTCTTTCTTCAACTGTATCTTTCCCTTGTCTCGCAAGCCCCAATAGATCTGTTTCCTAAAAGTCTGTCAACCTGAATCTAGGAAGATGTGAAACGTGGAGCAATTTGAGCATGAGATAAATGTAAGAAAGCTTTGGAGGGGGAAGGCATTGATTGTATGTCCATGCTAGAGGGCAGCAGCTCCTGAGGGAAACCCCCAGTAGATCCATGAAGACAGGGTGAGGGCACCCACTGCCCTTCTGGGCACAGGCAGGCTGTAATGGGGACCGTGCCTTAGTCCTCTTTTGTTTCCCAAAGGCCGTACAAATATTTGGACTACCCCTCCTCTCAATTAAAACCAGACGGCATAACTTCGTCTAGAAAGACTGGCCAAAAAGGAGCGTGGGGGGAGCAGAAGGACAGTGTGAGCCTGTAAGAGGAGAGGAGTTACGCAAAGCGACATCCCGAATCGTTTGAACTTTGCCTCTGTCACAATTTGAGTCAAACCCAAGCTTCAGATCAAGTTCGTGTTTAATTAAGTACATAAAAGATATCTGTGTGGGCTGCTAAGCACTTCTCCAAATCCAGCCTGGAAAATGCAGACAAACAAACTGAAATGACCCTGTAGGAATAATAAAACATACAAAATCTTCTGCCAGAATCCTCTAAGCCTGATGCTGTTGTGGATGTTCACCACCTCCCTTGGGCACAACCCGGCTATGGCCACTGGTCCTGCAGCTAAAGGTGGTCCTCAAAGTTCCCAGGGTGCCCTATAGTTAGTGCCTTAATCCATGCGTAATTAAACCCGAAACTTCATGAATGTTCCCCAGCTGCGAAGAGAGGAGGGAGCAAATACTGCAGCTGGCATTCGCACTGTGGTCAGTAAACTGGCTTCCCGACCTCTTCCAGATCCTTCCTTTTTGTCCATGCTGGAGCTTTGCTTTCAGCTCTCATTGCTGTGTCCTTGGTGCTGGCATTTGCCACCCTGCTCAGATGACATGCTGTAAATGTATGGTTTGTGGAGGGATGGAGTTTCCCGTTAGCCAATTAATCCTATTAAGACCTAGTCTTCAGTATATAAGATTTTTTTAAAGTTCATGCTACAGCTTTTATCTGTGTTCAGACTTTCTGAACACCTTTCCTGACTTTCTGGGATAAAAACCAGGACCACTCTTGCTGTTTCTTGCTATTTCTGTGCATTTCCTCCCATTTCCCAGGTGTTCTCCATTTCTTCTGCTCTAAAGTTCCTAATCATCCTGCTCCTGCACCTAAAACTAACCAGAAATGAAGTTTTGAGTTGCACATTGTTGGCCACACCAATGCTTTGGCCAATGCTTGGAGATGCTGAGAACAGGAAGGTGGAAAGAAATGAGGGAATAAAACTACCCTTTTTAACAGGTCCCCACATTTCTGTCGGAATAAGGAAACCTAATACACGTATTGAAATGAGTCCATAATCCCATCAGAGCCTATCTTCCATAAGCTATTTTAGAGACTAACTTTTCTTTGACCTGTATTAGACCATTGCTTCATTTCACCCCAAGCAATAGCCTCCTCGTAGTATTCAGCTGTTTGGTGACCCTGAGTAGGTTTGGCCTGACGAGCTGCAGGGGAATTGTTCCTGGAAATTCTGTTGTCTTACAGAAACATTACTCAACAAAATTATTAAGGAAATAAAACATCATTCAAGGTGGACTGTAGTAGTGTTACCTGGATGTTTTATTCTTCTTAACACTTCTGGTTGACCCAGGGATGTATTTGACTCTGTGATACTTCATTCATTGATTTGTTTGGGTTTTTTTTTTCTGAACCAGATTATAAGGACTCCAAGGAAAAGAACAAAATGGAAATCCTATATATCCTGGTGCCCAGTGTCACCATTCCCCTGGCCATAGCCTTGCTCTTCTTCTTCATCTGCATCTGTCGCAACAACCAGAAGTCCTCCTCCCCTCCCATCCAGCGCCAGCCTAAACACGTCAGGGGGCAGAACGTGGAGATGTCGATGCTCAACGCCTACAAACCAAAGGTAATTCCTCATTTCTGCTCCCACATTTGCTGTCTGCAAAGGCAGGGAGGGAAATGCTTTAATCATCAGTGCTGAGATATTCAGCTGATTCCTAACTTGCAGTTTCTGCTGGTGCCTTTAACTGTAATTTTTGTAAGGACTTTCCTCAGCAGCAGCGTAGCAAGCATGCTGGACCAGGGAGGTGATTCCCATGTGTCCACGGATAAAGCGGAGTTGGAGGGTTTTTTGTAATAGAACAAACAACCCATTACTGAAGCATCTCTAAATTGCCTCCTTTAGGTTAGGAAGTGTTGCAGATGAAGATGTGATTCAGCATTTTCTCAAGAGAGTTTTTTCCTGGGGCTGCTGTAGTTGTATGTCATCCTTCACTCAGCTGAAATCACTTTGGGAAGATTTGTTCCTTGCTTTTTCAGGCTTACCCGTTCTCTCCGTTAAAGAGAGAAATTACCCAAACAGAGCCTCAGAAATCTGCCTGCGGTTCTGGCCAGCACAGCAGATGCACAGCGGCTCTTGTTGCAGGTGTTGGTTTCCTTCACTGCAGGCCCAGGTCCACGAAGCATTTTTAAAAGTCATTTAAGATTTAAGCGTGATTAACCTCGAGCTCCCTGTTTATTGGCAGGGCAGCCCGTTTGCAAACCTGGCTCACCCATTTCAGGGCTGTAACTGCCTTCTGCCATCTACAGGCAGAAAAATGCTCGGGAAAGAAAAACCTTGGTTTTCACCCCATGCCAGTTCTCTTCACCAAATTGATGGAGCATTTCAGAGTGAAAATCAGTATCTACAAGTAATTAGACTAGAAACTGTCTAGACTGGTATCTACAAGTCTTTGAGTAAGCTGTTATTTTTGTTAGAAAATGACATAGCAAATTGATTTTGAATCCTGATTTTATGGAGCTTGAGCAATATGAATTCTAACCTTCAGATGTTGCTTCAAATATCACTCGGCATCAGGAAACTTGCACTTCAAGAGCTGTGTTCTCCATCTCTCAATACATTCTGGAGTAGCAGCAATGGGATGCCTCTGTTGCTTACTTTTAAATACCAAGTTTATAGAATTAGGTTATAAAGAATTAATTGTGGCAGCCTAGGGAAAATTACTTAAGTATCTGTGTCCTGTGGGATACAAGGAGTGCACTGCAAGGGGCAGGGATGGACACAGAAATTTGGGGCAGAGAATCTGTCTAGGGTGGTCAGACAGAGTTTGGTCCATTGTTATGTTTTAATTCCTCAGTCCCACACACACTGGCCCAGTGAATTTATCTCAGTTTTCCTTTAAAGTTGTTAATTTTCAGCATAGAGTGGCCAAATATCAAAATGTTGGCAACAGTACAAAACCCATTTAATTAGGTCAAAACTACATCTTGCATCCAGTCTCCGTGGCATATTTGGTTAAATTTGGATTTGCTTCTTGGTCCCCGTTCTATGTGATATTTGGGGTCGAATCCTGGCTAAACTGAAGATAATGAGAAGATCACAATTTCCACCTAGACTGATGATGCTGATGCCTTATGCACACAACATAGGAAAGCAACTTGCCCAGAAGTATTTGCACATACAGACAGTGCTGTTCTCTTTTTAGGTTCAAAGCCCTGTGCCGCCAAAAGCTTTCCATCTTATTTATGCTAATTCTGTTTTTTCCCACTGGGAAAGGCAGCTCTCCCTGTCTTAAATGTTTTGATTGCCTTTCAAACAACATTGTAAAAGAAAGGAAGTAGAATCCTATTTTTAAATACTGTGTCCAGTATTAATGTCAACTTTGGGTAAAAACATGCATGGGCTTCCAGCTCCGAGGTAGATGCGTGTTTGCTGGTACAAATGAAAATGTTAGCATTTAGTCCAAAAGCCTGTTTTGGTTTTTAGAAAGGGATTTTAATTGCTTTCAAAGAAGACAATAAACTCAGCTCGCGGTGTCCTTTACCTAATGGAGGAGCCAATGGAGAGGTGGAGGCTCTCCCTTTGTACTGGGTTTACTTTGGCGCACTGCCGCCGATGTATTTTACACTTCTTTACATTTTGTACACCCATGTATGACAAATGCTTGTCAAACAAAAACTAAGCAGATTTATAACTGCTTAACTTGAAATGAGCCCTTCCTGCCAAAACTTTATGACTTCATTTTCTTTCATAGTTTTCCACTATGTTGGTTCAAACACACGAACCCAGCCTCGGGTCAGACAGAGGTCATTTCACTTTCATTACTAAAATATAATTTACAATATGCCAGACCTAAACAAGTTTTAGCCTAAAGGATTTGTGTAATATAAACCATCTGTTCCTCAACAATATAGCTAATTTCCTGCCATCACCGTACAGTCTACTGCTGCCTGCTTAAATGGCTTTATTATCATTATTATTATTATTATTATTATTATTATTATTATTGCAGTATTTGTCTAAAATTTGTAATTGGTCAGTATGATTAGAATTAATTTATTCTCAAATTTTTTTAAATGTGAGTTCTTTTCCTCCATTGCCACTGTTAAGCTGCCGTTACATTATTTCAGGACTGCAGATGCTAATGTTTACACTATTTTATGAAACATGGATCCCACATTAGCCTTAAATTACTACCTATGGCTATACTGAGAACCTGTAATGCGTGGGTTTGGGTGTAGTTGTTACGAGCACGTGTTGAAGCTAATGTCGGAAAATACTACACCTTCTTTATCGCCTAAGAGTGAATGTAGGCACCCCGAATAACAACAGGATTTTTAAAAAGTTTGCCTTTTTTCTTTCTTCTCATTTTTCGAGCTGAATCTGTCCTGCATGTTTCAGGTTGAGCATTCAGCCAAGTGTGACCAGAAATAGTCTCCGCTGTACATTACAGGGTTAACAGCAAAATTGAGGAAGAATTGGCTACAGAGACATAGTGTGGAAAAAAAAGATATATATTTCTGCTAAAATTTTAGGCTCCGCCCCAGAAAGCACTCCAGCGTGTACTAAAGTATGGGAATTGCCTCAATTCCTGAAATTAGTCAGATTCAATTTTAAGTATAGAAATGCCCAAGCCCCAGGATATAAAATGTCTTTGCTGAAATGCTGATGGTTCCTGCTTATATTTAGGTCTAATACTTGCTACTTTTATCTGATCCTGTGTAGAGGGTAAACAGTAATTCAGAATTTAGTTTTGGAGTGTGGTGCACAGAGATTAGGCGGGATTCGGCCGCGGGCTTTGCTGCTATTGGGATACTGGTGATAGTGGGGCTGATGCCATCGCACCAGCAGGAACGCTGCCAACTGGGGACACGGCCCAGAGAGTTTCTATGTTGGTTTGCTTGGCTTTCAGACATCCTATGTAGAAAGATTTTTCACTGAAAAATATGTTTTCAGCCCTGTTTTTCTGTTATGGTTTTACTTTCATTGCTTTAACAGAGTAAGGCGAAGGAGTTGCCTCTGTCTGCTGTTCGTTTCATGGAAGAACTGGGAGAATGCGCTTTCGGCAAGATCTACAAGGGACATCTCTACCTCCCGGGCATGGATCATGCTCAGCTCGTTGCCATCAAGACCCTCAAAGACTTTAACAACCCCCAGCAGTGGGCCGAGTTCCAGCAAGAAGCGTCTTTGATGGCCGAGCTCCACCACCCCAACATCGTTTGCCTCTTGGGTGTTGTGACCCAGGAGCAACCCGTCTGCATGCTCTTCGAGTACATGAACCAAGGAGACCTCCACGAGTTTCTCATCATGCGATCACCGCATTCGGATGTTGGGTGCAGCAGCGACGAGGATGGGACTGTAAAATCCAGCCTGGACCACGGGGATTTCCTGCATATTGCAGTCCAGATTGCGGCGGGGATGGAGTACTTATCGAGTCATTTCTTTGTCCATAAAGATCTCGCTGCTCGTAACATTTTAATTGGAGAACAACTTCATGTGAAAATTTCAGACCTTGGACTCTCAAGAGAGATCTACTCAGCAGATTATTACAGAGTTCAAAACAAATCTCTCTTGCCCATTCGCTGGATGCCACCGGAGGCAATTATGTACGGCAAGCTCTCTTCCGCTTCAGATATTTGGGCATTTGGAGTTGTTTTATGGGAAATATTCAGCTTTGGACTTCAACCATATTACGGATTTAGTAATCAGGAGGTGATAGAGATGATCAGGAAAAGACAACTGCTGCCATGCTCTGAAGACTGTCCTCCCCGAATGTACAGCCTGATGACCGAATGCTGGCATGATCTGCCATCCCGCAGGCCACGGTTTAAAGAAATCCATGCCAGGCTGCGCTCGTGGGAGGGTCTTTCAAGTCACACCAGTTCTACCACCCCCTCCGGTGGGAATGCCACCACCCAAACGACTTCCCTCAGCGCCAGTCCTGTTAGCAATCTCAGTAACCCCAGGTACCCTAACTACATGTTCCCAGCACAAGGTATCCCCCAAGGCCAAATCGCCGGGTTCATTGGGCCGCCGATACCTCAGAACCAGCGGTACATCCCCATCAACGGGTACCCCATTCCAGCGGGATACGCCGCTTTCCCAGCTGCCCACTATCAACCACAAGGCCCACCCCGGGTGATCCAGCACTGTCCTCCTCCAAAGAGCCGCTCTCCGAGCAGCGCCAGCGGATCCACTAGCACAGGGCATGTCACCAGTTTGCCGTCTTCAGGATCCAACCAGGAAGCAAATATTCCTTTGCTATCTCACATGGCAATTCCCAGTCATCCGGGGGGAATCGGGATTACAGTTTTTGGAAATAAAACTCAAAAACCCTACAAAATTGACTCGAAGCAGTCTTCCCTGTTAGGAGACTCCAGCATCCATGGACCTAATGAATCTATGATTTCAGCTGAATTGTAAATAAGCGAGGCCTTTGTAAATATAACTATTTACAATACAAACTAGAGAGCGGTAGAAAAGATTTATATGCAAATATTTTATTAAAGATTCTGCTGGTTGGTTAACAGACATTGCAGCGAGTATCTTCTGTGAAGTTTTAACTGCTTAGCAGGATGGGCAGGCGCAACCAGGCACAGATCGCTGTGGTCAAAGTACTCAGCTTTGGAATGGACGCATTGTTTCTTTAAGCGCCACTGACAGTTCCGAAAGGGGAAGGTTTGGTTTGGTTTTTTTTTTTTAAATAAAAACATTTGATCATATGCTTTTTCACAGCTTTTTAAACCTCCGATGTGGTTTAAATCACAGAAACTTTTTTTATGCTGAAAACATATTTTAGTATGTCTCTTTTTTTAGGAGATGCCAATATCCGGAAGTCTATTGGGTGTGCAATTTCAGTTCCAATACCGAGTTAAAATATTTGTAAATTTTGCAGTCAAGGATTATGTTTCAAATATGTGATCTGAGAGCTGGATAAATTACTTCAGGTAGGATTTTGGTCTTTTGTTAAGTCGGAATTCTGAGTTCGGATTCGGACCAAAACCAAAAGTCATTTATATGACAGCACAATAGCTTGAGTTATCAACTCGTGGTCTACAAATACCATCTGCTGTGGGCTGCTAAAGGTGGCTGGAGTTCTAAGAAATTGCCTTAAAGGAAATGAAATTAAAGTGTTTTAATTTCAGAATGTGAATCAACCTATTCAAAGGTAACATTTCACAATCTAGTAGTTTGAGCAGAAATTTTGTATCCTTTTGTTGCTATGCAACTGTTTAATGGAAAAGCTCCAAATCACAATTTTATATATGACAATCAGTTTTCCCAGGAATATTTATTGCTGCAGATCGATGTGTAATTCAGTGACTACGACTCCAGTAACCCTGAGGAAAGGGAAGCTCACGTTCCACCAGGCAGCAAATCCATCTGTAGCAATTTTGCCTATCAGTTCTAATAATGTGAATGAGGGTTAACTTTCAACTTAGGAACGTGACATTTGCGTGATGAATAAAAATTCATTCAGGTATAAGCAATCTGGATTATTCATTTGAAACCACTTTAATGAGTTACGAAAGTGCTGTGTACGTTGTGGTTTTTCACAGACTCTTTTTGTACTGAATAGTATTTTTATTGTACACAGGACAAAACCAGTCTTTTGCTCAGTTGGCAATGTTGTATAATACGACTTTATTTTTCTCTTTTTGCACAAAAGTGTGATAATGTACAGCAGAAGTGAAAATACATCTCTGCGTTTTATATCTTGGTCTGTTCCTTTTTATTTTTAACCTGATGTAGATGTTCTTGAAATATATTATGGTGATATTCAGCCACTACCTTATCCAAATATTTTTTCTTTGTTTTCACTGCATGCGTTTAATCACTGTATTACTTGATGATTGATTTATTAATTATGGGCATTTCAATTAGGCAAGCATGAAAATGTAACAACAAAGGCTATTTTATAATTAAGATATGTGCATTTTTGTATTTCACATGCCAGAGATGATATTAAACACTGATTATTTTATGCTGCTGTTTATTAAAACGTTGTTTTAACATAAAAAGAGCGGTATTTCCTCCATCTTGGTGTAAGATATCTGGAAAGTTTCATATTTAAGAGAGATAAGTGCAGTTCAGGTAGGGAGTCTGCTGAAACACTCGCTTGAATGAGATGTGAGAGTTTTACAAGTAATATTTGCAGGCACATGACTTAGGAGCAACGTGCAGAGGCTTAAGTGAATATTTGACCATGTAAATATGAGCAGAGCACACAGAAGAGGTGGATCAGCATGACTGCCTATGGAGAGCCATGCGCTCATTGCTCGGATCTTGCTGGTGCCATTCAGCTCCGTACCAAGGGCCAGCATCGCCCTTTTAGCCCTATGCTTCAATTTGGTGTCCTGCTGTCATGGTACATTGTGTTGCTGCTGCATCCCAAGCTGTCAACCTCCCTCACCTTGTGCAGGCGTGAAACTGTACCTGCAGATGAAGAAAAATCAGTGATTCTGTAGTGAGGGCTTTTGTGGCTTCTGAAATCCTCTGTGAATCTGGGATGTCAGCTCCCATGTGGGTTGAACTGATGTCTGGATCAGTAATGAAAATGTGCTATGTGTTAGCTAAAATACAGTTTTGACTGAAGACCCAGACAGTAATTGCATTTATTAACTTCTCTGTCTGTGTCAGGTTATCAGACTTGCAAATGCTAAAAAATTACCTTTGAACAGCGGTGTTTGACAGGAATGCATGAGGTGTTTTTCTCTGAGCCACAGCTGTTACCATAACCCAAGGCCAGGGAATTGCCCTTTCTCACTTCCACACATGCACATCTCTGCCGCGCTCGCTTGACACCTTGTTCAGTCGACAGCACCTGTTGTGTTCTTGCTCCGTCTTTGCTCTCATCTGCCCCTTTTTCAAATGGTTGCATCAGTGCAAACATTTCCTTTGCACCTGAAGTATCAAACACACTGAGAAGTAAGAAGCCTTTTTTTCCACCCATTTTTCTCTTGGCATTTCTTAGCTTGTACTATTAAGGGCTTGACATTTCATCAGTGCCAGTTTTAAGACATTCCACTGCTTCCTGAGTATCTGGTTTCAGAAACAAGAAGAAACCGTATGCAGCCACACAAGTCCGTGGTCCTTAGGTTATGCTGTTCTTGCAAAAACTTCAGTAAAGAATGTGCTGTAAATGAAGAGCAATTAAGAATCTTTGCACCGTAGCTGTGCAAAAGCATGGCTGGAAAAGATATTGAGATACCTTGATCAGTGATATCAAAGTATTTGCTCATCACTGTCAAACAGCAGGCTTCCCTGCCTGAATGTGTGAAGAAAATGGGAGTATCTGCTCATGGGACAGATGTGCTCTGCCAGCTGCGATGACGAGCGCTATGTGTCCCATCGGGTCAAAGCTGAACATGTTGGCCATAATGCCGTAATTCAGTGCAATTTGGTAAAGACAAGCTCGAACCAAACCACCCTCACATCAGGACTGCGCACATGCAGCTCCTGCAGGGCTGCCACCTGGTGCGGGTAAGCTCAGCTGTGAGTTTGCATACTTGGCTTTAATCACCCTGATAGGAAAGCAGTAACCTAGTGCTTAATTGAGTCACAAAATAGTCCCTCACACACTTTGTGGTTTTATGTTAAAAAAACCAGGGGCTACAGTGGGCCCACTCTCAGCTCAGTTTAGGGTTTTGCCTTATTTCCAAGTAAGCTGGGTCCTTAGGACTCAAATATTTTTAGACTCACGGATGTCAGCCAGCACTGAACAATACACCTGAAATCTCTTGCAATGACCTCATCCTGCCCTTCTCTCCCTCTCTCAGCAGGTGAAGTTTGGGAGCTACAAGGCTGAAATCGCAGTCTGGCTCACAACCAGTGTGCAGGGAGCAAACGCTAATGCAGAGAGGCAAGAAGTCATCAGGGAGGGATTAGAAGGGAAGAAAAATCTTCTAAAAAACAGATAATGTGGACAATAAGTGTTGCCAGAAATTAAGGAATTACTCCTCAGGTGGGAATGCAGACACGCAGATGAAAGCTGGTTTTGTGGCAAACAAAAGAAAAGGGAACTTTCCAGATTCTTAGTGCTACATGCTGGAATCATCTTCCCTTCTTCCTTTGGAGAGACAGGACAGCCAAGAGTGCTGGAAATGGATTGAGAAGCTCTGGAGGTTTGGAAATAAAACTCTGGATAAAAACTGTTTAGAAAGCCTTCAATCTGCAGGATCTCATTCCCTCCAGGTTAGCTTATATTGCTGTAAAGGAGAATAAATATTTGCTGATTTAAAGACCAAAATGCAGAGTCTGAAATGGAGATTTTATCCTTTGTTCCCACAGAGGAGTGATTATGGTGGGTTTCTGTGCTCTCTGGATTGAAAGCAGAAGGTAAAGCAGAGAACTACTTGTGCAGAAATTGGGCTGGAAAACTCAGCAATCCCAGCACACGTTTATCCAGAGCATGAGAAATGGTCAAAAAGGAATCTCTTGTTTGCTTTGCATGAAAAAGGACATCCAGGAAGGCTGCAGGTTTGGAAAAACTCTTACTACTTGTGCTGCTTGTTCCAATACTGTTGCATAACCTATGTTCACCAGGAGAACTTTAAAATGTTCACCTAACTCAAAGCACTCCTGAGGGTAAGGCAGGCAAAATGAAGCTCTCTCAAGTATAAACACGCGCTCTTCCCTATGGACTATGCAATGAGTGCCTTCAATGTCTGTTGGCTCTGGTTAGGGTGTTAATCAGAAGGGATTTGGCTCATTGGCAGGAGTCGCACCATGTCACACCAGGTGTTAGACCTCAAAGCACTGCGGTAGCTGTGATTTTATCATCCCCTCTTCTGCAAACATAAGATACCATAAGTGGTTATAAATGACATATGTTAATGAGAAATTCATTACTTCATTCTACCTTCTGGAGAGTCCTAAGGCGTTTTAGTGGACCTGCAGAAACCCTGAACCATCAATCTGTACCTGTGAGAAATTTGGTCTCGCAGCACAAGTTCAGACAGTTCAGATGCGTGCACAGAGTGGGTTACAGAGCAGGTTCCCAGGCCAGCAAAAAGAGACACATTAACACATTTGTTCAAAAACCAATTTTGTTCAGAAACTGGCTTTTGTTCCAAAGTACTACAAAAACCCAAAGAACGTCAGTTTTTTATTTACCAGAAAAAAATTACAGCGCCTTTACCGTATGTTACAATATTTTAACCAGCATTTACTTGGAATATGAATTCATCATTGTTCTGTGGTCAGGAAATGGAACGAGCAGCCACCCTACACTGAATTTTACCACCTCTGGTTCTGCAGGAGAACCTCAGTGGAAAAACAAGGCAAGTGGGTGAAGCTGATGGAGAACAAACATCTTTTGGAGAGAAAGCCCTAGCTGCATTTTGAAAGAGCACCTTTGTATCTGTAAGATCTAAACTCCCCTCTCAGGTATCTCAGTGTCTTCGTGGTATTTGACCTTGTGGCTTTGTCCCAGATATTTCTTTTGCTTGAGGCAGAGCCAGCACAGTAATTCCTGTGAAAAGCCAGTAGCCAAACAGTTCTTGGCCATTATTAGACTTGCAGGGCATGGCTAAACCGAGGAGGTCTGAGGGTGCTGGGACCAATCTTAAAGCATGTAGTCACCCAAACCACATCCTCGAGTTTGTTCTTTTGGCTGCATCTTCAATGGCGACGGTTGTTTTTTGTGGCCCCAAGTCTGCTCTCTCCGTGGGCCCAAAAGCCTCTCTTAAAGATCTGATGTTCGTGGAATCTGAGAAGCAATTTTTATCTTGCTGTGGGCTGTCTTTTATAGGAGGAGAGAATATTGCCCCTGAGTCAGTCACTCTCTATCCCATCATATTTCTTCCTGTTTGATCTCTCAAAGATTAAAGTTCAGTATATTTCAGGACAGTTATATTGCTAAGGTAATATAAAATTATTAAAAACAGAGAGAGATACAATATTGTGACTACACATCAAAAGGTCTTTAAGACAAAGGAGGGAAAATTGACTTGAAACTGGAATTATTAGAAGCATCTGTGGTGTCCTTTATTTTCCAGTTAACAGTGCAACCCATTTTGGAATGGTGTCTGTTTCAAACTAGCAACCTGGTACTGCCTTAATTTTCTGATTTGTACCCCAAACCGCGTGGTTTATCTGCTCCTAGAGAGGAACAACGGTTGGTTAATGAGTTTGGACTTTAAGGCACAAAGCAACATTTTCCAATGCTGCAACCTACAGCGTGTGTGAAGAAGAAGTTGGGCTATTTTTTTCACACATCCGAGGAATTTAAAACAAAACAAGTATCTGTTAAATTCATAAGAAGCACATGGATTTTTAAACCACAAGTGGTGCTAGCACAATGCGCGTATGTTTGTTTATATATGTGAATATATGTATCTGTACACACTCAAATGTTTTCAGTAGGTATTTCCATAGGTTAAAAAAAATGCAGTAACAATCCAGAAACAGTTCCTAACAGGAACTAGGATAATGCTTTTTTCCAGTCACCCTCAGTGTAAACACAAATGATTTGGGTTGATCCCGAGCTGTGGAAGGCACAAAGTGGTGCCTTTTGATGCAGTTCGTAACAGCTCTGAAGGGGTCAGAGAGGCCAGCACCATGCTTCCTTGGGGTACAGGCATGTACAAGAACAAATCCCATGGAGCTGCAAAAGCGCAACAGCCCCTGCACACCTTGTGCCAGGCAGGTATGGCACAGGAAAAATTGGGCAAAGTCTGGGTCTGGGAAAATGAGATGGATTTCTAAGGGAA